ATTATTAAGGGCTGGCCCGGTGGCGCACTGCTACAGTGCACCGCTTGGGAGCGCAGCGGCCCTCCCGCTGAGGGTTTGGATCCCACATACAGACCGGTTCCCGCTCACTGGCTGAGCGAGGTGCAGGTGCAGCGCCGAGGGTTGCTATCCCGTTGCCGGTCCCGGTCCGGTACGGGCGCGGCACTGAGGGTTGCGATCTGTTGCCAGACACGAAAAAAAAAAAAAAGAAAAAAAAAAGTGATTATTAATAGGCAAAGTTTTACTAGTGCCATTTTGTTCATTGTTCTTTGGTTGTTTTTTAGACTTTTTATTTCTTTCTTCCTTGCTTCCCTTCCTCCTTTGTGGTTTAATGATTTCCTGTACTTACATGCTTCAGATTTTTTTTTTTAATCTTTTGTGTATCCACTACAGATTTTTATTTTGAGGTAAACATGAGGCTTACATAAAATATCTTACACTTACAACAGACTATTTAAAGTTGATAACTTCATTTTGACTACATACACAAACTCTATAATTTAACTCCCCTTTCCCCATGTTTTATGTTTTTGATGTCACAATTTGCATCTTTTTATTTTATCGCCTAACAAATTATTGTGGTTATAGGTGTTCTTAATAATTTTATTTTTTAATCTTTATACTAGAGACATAATTGATTTAGACATCACTTTTAGAGTATTAAAGTGTTTTGAATTTGCAAATGTACTTACATTTACCAGTGAGTTTTATACATTTTTGTGTTTTTATGTTACTACTTACTATCCTTTTCTTTCAGCTTGAAGAATCCTCTTTACCATTTCCTGTAAAGGACATCTGGTGGTGATAAACTCCCTCATCTTTTTTTTTTTTTTTGTCAGAGAAAGTCATTATTTTCCCTTCATTTTTGAAAGGTAGGATTACTTGGTATGTTATTTGTGGTTTCCAGGTTTTATTATTTTTATTTCAGGATTTTTACTATATCACCCATTCCCTTGTAGTCTGAAAGATTTCAGCTGGAAATTCATTGATAGTCTTATGAAGGATCCTTTATAAGTAACAGGTTGTTTTTCCTTTGCTACATTCATTTTCTCTTCAATTTTCAACAATTTGATTATAATGTGTCTTAGTGTGGGTCTGTTTAGATTTATATTATTTGATGTTCTTTTTGCTTCCTGGATCTGAATTTCTATTTTCTCCCTCAGTCCCAGGAAATTTTCTGTCATCATTTCTTTGAATATGCTTTCTATTACCTTCTCTTTCTTTTCTCCTTCTTAAATTTTGATAATGTATAAATTGATCTGTTTAGTGATGTCCCATAAGTTCCTTAAGTTATTTTCACTACTTTTTATTATTTTATTCTTTTTATGCCTAAGATTGGATTCTTTCCAGTAACCTGTTTTGAAGTTCACTGATCTTTTTTTTTAATGCTTGAAGTTTTTGTTGAATATTTAAATTTAGTTATTGTACTCTACAGCTCTGTTTTCTGTTTGGTATGTTTTCATGCTTTCTATCTCTTTGCTAAAATTCTCAAGTTTCTGCTTGCATTGCTCTCCAGACCTTGGCAGGAACTTTTATGATCATTATTCTAAATTTTCTCTCTGGTAAATTACATATCTTTATTTCACTAATATCAGTTTCTGATGATTTATTTTGTTCTTTTATTGTAATGCATTTTCTTCAACTCTTTGTGTTGTTTCCTGCACATTAAATAAGACAGCATCCTATCACAGACTTTTAAGACTGGCCATGTGTAGGAGAAGAATCTCGCCAATTCATCTAGCCAGGTATTCTAAGTGCCTCTCACATGTTTGTGTTTGCACAAACTGCTCTCTTTCTTTTTCATAGTCCCCAGAAAATTAGAATGCCTCAAGTCCTCTCAGCACCCCAAGACAAGTAAGATAGAAGCCAGACCATATAGATGCGGTTGAAAGGTTGAGGTGATAGATAAGTGTTCTGTTCCTTCCATCCTAAGAATAAAATTGAAAGCAGGCATTAATCTCCAACTCTCTGCACTAAGCAGGGGACAGAATCTGTGGCAAGTATTCACCCTCTCATTCACACCATGTCCCCTGATCCTGGAAGAATATCCAGTGGAAGTGGGCCTTTTCTATGTCTACCTGCTTGTTTTCTGTGGTCTAGTGAGATCCCCATCAACTCCCGGTGCTAGGTCGTTAAGGAGGCAATCTCTTGGGTGGAAGTTGTAGATATTGAGGCATTTGATCCATAAATTAACTTCTTCCAGGACGAATCAATAGGCCTAGAATTATCACTAGGGAGCACTGGGAGAGAAGGCTCAGGAATTGCTAAGCTCTTATTTAGGCTGCCAAGGTCTATTGTATGTCTGCCCTGTTAACTTCCTAATGCAATTTAGTTAGAGGCCAGGCTATCAAGTAGACATTAGTTGAGTGTGCAGGAAGTTCTTTCTAGGGATAAAATGACATCTGTGCATTTTAGACCCTTCTCTGCATTGCTCTTGGGTGAGGGGTGGAGGGTAGCCACAGGAAGTGCTTGTGAACCCATTTAAAACCACCTCTTTGTTTTGTGATCTAGGGAGACTCATGTATACCAGGTCCCTTCTGCTCCCATAGCTAAGTTGAGGATGCAGTTCCTTTATTGAGAGCTGTAAAAGTTAAGGAACTCAACATGTGAACAAACTTCTTCCAGGAGGAATTGGTACACTGGAAGTATCGGTGGAGCAAACTGGGGGAGAAAGCTGGGGAAGTGCTGAGTTCCCATTAAGGCTTCTAGAGATCTACTGTTTGTATCAACCCAGTTTATTCCCTGATGCAGGCTAGTCTGAAGCTCAACTGTCAGCAGCAGCAATTGACAGAGTACACTGGCAAACCTCTTCTGGGAGAAAGTGGGAGCTTTGAGTTTCAGCATCTCCTCTGCCACGATCCCTGGGGATGAAGCCCCCGGCAGTGCTTGTATATGCATGTAAATCTTCTGTGTTGTTCCATGGTCTAGGAAGACCCATGTTTGCCCAATCCCTTCTTCTCCCAGAACTAGCTGAATTGAGAACATATTCCTGGGAAACAGATTTAGGGTGCTATATGTGTGTTCTAAACCGTTTTCTCCTCAGGGAGAAACTGAGTGTTTGGGATTTCCCTCAGATTGTATGGTGCAGTGCCTGGGCTGGGGTTTGTGCCCCAATTTGCCTCAGCATTTCCCAGGCAATGTGGATATTTTTTCAGATTCCTGGAGCAAAGGAGCTCTCAACTGGTTTCTGACTTTCTAACAGAAGGAACTGGTTCATTTATAAATGTTTATTTGGTCCATCAGTTGGTGAAGGAAAAGTCAGGAACCTGCTATTCTGTAATGTTACTGGCATCACCCTCCAAGATTTTTTTTTTTTTTTTTTTAATTCTCAGCTCTTCTGAACTATGGCTGATTCATATTTTGCAGGCTCTTATTTTGTTAAGATAGCATTGTGTGTGTGTGTGTGTGTGTGTGTGTAAATGTTTTTCAGAAACCTTCATATAGTTTCTCCTAGTAGATTGCCTCCATTTGTTTTCATAATGACTAGAGCTCTTAGGTGAGCCTTAAATAAAGCAGGAGCTCCTCTTGGCTCTGAAGCTTTACTTTCTAAAGTGATATGGATGTGATCAGAAATTTGGTTGTTAGTTTCTAAAGCATTAAGTCTTTTGGTAAAACAATCTTTAATCTTCTTATTTAAAGAGGTGCTTAATTATCTAACTTCTATTTTTTTATTTTTGACCAAAAAACATATTGCTTGGATTTTTCCTTTATGAATTTCCCTTTAATTCAAAAGTTATAAAACTTTTGGATTCAGTTCATTTCTGTACAGGTGCTACATATCATATGAAACATAGTGAGATATTAAAGAACTAGATCTCTTAAATCTCTTTATTCATCAAAGTGTTTTTAAAGCTACATGAAATATTAAAGTTTTTAAGGTAAAATTATGACTGTCATGCAAGTATAAAAAAATACATAAAGATTTTATTTAACTATTATTCAATGGGGGAACATGTAAGGTGCTAAAAATAATTTCAGATGAGAATCCTAAGAGCAGACACGTATATAGAAAATCAAAAATTTTGAAATGAATTTAGTAGAAAATAGCTGTGTATGGGAGGGATGGCTTGCATTATTACAAATCAAATTCACTTGCATCACTTTTGATAATTGTAGTGCATTGAATTATCTCTCCCAAAAACTCACTGAGGCTTGAATTGTATCCTCCAGGTTTTATGTATCAGGAACTTAGCCCCCACTGTGACTGTAAAGAGGATGGGAAATCCTATCATGGTAATTGTAAGGTGGAGCCTTGAAGAGGTGATTACATTGTAGAGCTGTGCAGTAGTGATGGATTAAAATGGTGGTCAGGGGCGTGGTTCTGAGGGCTTTAAAAGGAGAGGAGAGTCTGTCTTTCTCTTTCTCTCCCCCTCTCTGCTCTCTCTGCTTCCACCATCTTGCAATGTGAGACCCCTGGGTCACTGTCACCACCACCATAGGGACTTTGGACTTCCCAGCCTCAGAAACTGTAAGCAATAAATTTTGTTTTTCTTTATAAACCACCCAGTTTCAGGTATTTTGTTATAAGCAACATAAATGGACTAATACAATAATCATTTGTATAACCAGAAGTTTTCTAAGATGAAGAGTTGAAAAATTGCTCAAAGACAATGAAAAGTGCAGACTTCTATAGAATCAGATAACAAGAAAGTATGCATTAGGCAACACCTAACATTCAATTTCAGTCTTTCATAATTTATTCCTGCAAGAATTTAAAAGCAGGGTGATGTGAAAAAGCTAAAGGACATCATATTAACTATGTTAAGTTGTTACCATTATTCAGATGGTATTTAGAGGCAAAAGGGGAAATGCAACTAACATTGCATGCCCACAATATACAGGCATTTTACTAATTGGCTTAAATATTCTATTTTATTTAATTTTCTGGACAACTTCTCTTGTTAGATTTTTTTTTTTTTTAATAGTTGAACTGTGTCCTCCCCTCTCCCCCCCAGTATATTGAAGTTCTTACCCCTGGTTAGAACACCAGTGAGGTCAGCACTGCGCCCAAGCTGGATAACACAGTGGTGGGACAGACGTCTTGGAAACCGTGTGGCCCCAGTGCATGGGACCAGAGCTTTACCCTGGAGCTGGAGAGGGCACGGGAACTGGAGTTGGCTGTGTTCTGGCGGGACCAGCGGGGCCTGTGCTCCCTGAAATTCCTGAAGTTGGAGGATTTCTTGGACAACGAGAGACATGAAGTGCAGCTGGACAGGGAACCCCAGGGCTGCCTGGTGGCCGAGGTCACCTTCCACAACCCTGTCATTGAGAGGATCCCTCGGCTCCAACGGCAGAAGAAAATCTTTTCTAAGCAGCAAGGGAAGGCATTTCAGCGAGCTCGGCAGATGAACATCGGTGTTGCCACGTGGGTGCGGCTGCTTCGGAGGCTCATCCCCAACGCCACAACAACAGGCACCTTCAGCCCCAGGGCATTTCCAGGACCCGAGGCCCAGTCCACAGGTGACAGATCTGTGGAGAAGCTGAACCTCGGGGACCGATTCGGACAGCTCACCGCAGAAGAGCCTGCTGGGTCCTCCTTCCAGCCCATCGAGCCTGAGTTCCCCAATCCGGGAAACTACCACTGCTCCCCAGCTGCCTGCCGAGACCCAGGAGACCCCAGGACCCACCCTGTGCAGCCCTCTAAGGAAGTCACCCCTGACCCTCGAGGATTTCAAATTCCTGGCAGTGCTGGGCCGGGATCACTTTGGGAAGGTGCTGCTCTCCGAATTTCGGTCCAGCGGGGAGCTGTTTGCCATCAAGGCTTTGAAGAAAGGGGGCATTGTGGCCCGAGACGAGGTGGAGAGTCTGATGTGTGAAAAGCGGATCTTGGCGGCAGTGACCAGAGCACGACACCCCTTCCTGGTGAATCTCTTTGGCTGTTTCCAGACGCCGGAGCACGTGTGCTTTGTAATGGAGTACTCGGCCGGTGGGGACCTGATGTTGCATATCCACAGCGACGTGTTCTCCGAGCCCCGTGCAGTCTTTTATTCTGCTTGTGTGGTGCTGGGGCTGCAGTTCCTCCATGAACACAAGATTGTCTACAGGGACCTGAAGTTAGACAATTTGCTCCTGGACACCGAGGGCTATGTCAAGATCGCAGACTTTGGCCTGTGCAAGGAAGGGATGGGCTATGGGGACTGGACCAGCAGGTTCTGTGGGACCCCGGAGTTCCTGGCACCAGAGGTGGGGACGGACACGTCGTACACACGGGCTGTGGACTGGTGGGGCCTGGGCGTGCTTCTCTACGAGATGCTGGTTGGTGAGTCCCCATTCCCAGGGGACGATGAGGAGGAGGTATTCGACAGCATCGTCAACGATGAGGTCCGCTACCTCCACTTCCTTTCGTCGGAAGCCATTGGCATCTTGCGAAGGCTGCTGCGGAGGAACCCAGAACGGAGACTGGGGTCCAGCGAGCAGGATGCAGAAGATGTGAAAAAACAACCCTTCTTCAGGACCCTGGGCTGGGACGACCTGCTGGCCCGGCGCCTGCCACCGCCCTTTGTACCCAAGCTGTCAGGCCGCACCAATGTCAGCAACTTCGACAAGGAGTTCACGGAGGAGGCACCCACGCTCAGCCCTCCCCACGACGCGAGGTCCCTCACCGCCACCGAGCAGGCCGCCTTCCGGGACTTCGACTTCGTGGCCCTGGGCTGCTAGCCCCTCTCCTGTACCTGCCCCCACCCCCAACCAAGAGCTTTTAGTTTTTAAAAAGGGCTTTGGGGTTTGCCCCAGCCATGCAAAAAAAAAAAAAAAATGCTATGAATGCTATCTTATTTAGAAATAGAGCCTTTGTAGTTGTAAGTAAGATGTGAGTTAAGGTGAGGTCTCAGTGAAGTAGGGTGGGCCCTTAATTCAATATCATGAGTGTCCTTATAAAAACAGGAGAAGAGACTAAGACAGACACACAGAAGGGTGCCATGTGATGGTGGAGGCAAAGACAGAAATGCTGTGTGTTCAGGCCAGGGAATTCTGAGGATTACTAGCAACCAGAGGACAAGAGAAAAGCATGGAACAGATTACCCCCCAGAGCTTTCAGAAAGTGCATGGCCCTGGAACACCTTGATTTCAAACCTTCAGCCTCCAAAACTGTGAGAGACTCAATTTCTGTTGCCTTATGCCACCCAGATTGTGGTAGCCTCCAGCCTCCAAAACTGTGAGAGACTCAATTTCTGTTGCCTTATGCCACCCAGATTGTGGTAATTTGTTGAAGCAGCCCTAGGAAACTAATATAATATTTTATAATTATTTTGTAATTTAGGATAATGGCATTTAAAAGGATTAAAGAATTTGGCAACTTTGCACAGATTCAACGTGTCAGAATGGAAATTTGCCCCAGGTACATTTGGTCCAAATCTCACTTTTTGTTCACTATGCCCTAACACATTTTTTGATTGAGAAAGGTTTTAAGTGGTTTCAGCATTTTGATTTTTGTTAACTAATGATTCCTTTTTAATAACTAAATTATGATCATTAATGAAATTCTCCCAAACTTACACAATTTCTTCATTGTGGTAACCAAAAGAATCTGCTCTGACCAAGTCAGATAAATTGTAGTGCCTCATGAGATCTGGGCAAGTCAATAATCATGTCCACCTGTCTCGAAAAACTTTATCATAAGACTGGCCTGATACCTTGTCTACATGTTCCTTGTCTACAGGTTCTTAGACTTGAGGTATGTAAAGAATGTGGCTTTCTGCCTGGAGAGAGGAATTCACCTAATTTGTACAGGTACACTCTAACAGTAAGTCAAATCTTTACATTGGCTTCCTAAGCCTCAAGAGGCTTTTAAAGTTCAAATCTAAAATTTCTTATAAAAATCCCAGCAAAGCCAATTTAAAAAGAGCCTATATGATAAATCACTATCTTATTGCACTTTATGAAAATAATCAGGTCAGAGACTAAACTTTTCTTACGAACAAATTAGTCTTGTTGTAAATATCTTTGATAAAACGATGGAACCAGAGAGAAAAAAAAAATATTTTAGAAGAAAAACTAGTACACCTGTTATTAGATTCTAACCCTGTCCATTGCTTTTTCAGTTTTTATTATCTGAACTAAAATCCTAAATTTTAGCAAATATTCCCTCTTGAGGAGTTTCCTTCTGGTCTGCTCAGTGATCGAGAGATATGTTTTACTGCTTAAATAATTCAGTCATTTACAATATATGGCCTAAGGCTCTTCCGTTGGTATTGCTTAACTTGCATTACACCCTGCTTAAAAAATATTAGCTTTTGATCTTTAAAATGATAATGCACATACCTATGCACCTAGATGAAAGACTATAAATGAGCTCTTCTAAAAGGCGATATTCTTCATTACTGCCAAGACCTCATAAAGCTCCTCATCAAAAATTTTAAATTAATAAAGGATTCCTTCCACAACAAGCTCCCAGAAGACAAAGACATCAAAGACCATGGTCTCCAACTTGGAAAGTTTCTTTATTAAAAATGTCATCAAATAAAAGGACTCCTTTCAGCCATGTTAAAAGGGACCATATAAGGTATTGTTAACCAAACCCTGTACAGCTAAGCTTAAAAGACATTGACTCATGGATTTATGATTCTCATATTAAAAAGGCAAATCTATGTGAGTGGACTTCCTCTATCACTAAAGATCTTCAACAGAAGCTAATATACCTCACTCTTCCAACCAAGATATGAAGAAGATCGCATGTGGGCAAACAGCTTTATTTTAAACTCTGGACCTGACCTGATGACAACTCCATCATCAATGTCATTGAAACATTTCTACTTTTACTCTGGGGAATTAATTTAGCTTTAGGCTTTTGTCAGATTGCAGGTCTTATCTCTTAGTTACCATTCTAACCAGGCCATATGTTTCAAGATTACTTACAAAGTTAAACTTCTGCTTTAATGTTTGTTTTCTCAGGCCTATGCCAGGTTAAACTTACTACATTGTTTAAGTTGTAAAAACGTCCTTTTTTCCCCCCCTCTTTTGCTACTTTTCAACCTATTTCTAAAATGAACATTCTCTTGCCCATAGGCACAACTTATTCTCCTGTCAGATATTCAACAAATGCCTTTGCTGTCTAGTTTTTCAGGTTTGCCAAACTTCTGACTATTGTCTCTTCCCAACTCCTCTGTTGCTTAAAATTTGGACCTAGAGACCAATTTCTGCCCCTCCAAGTAATTGGGAACAAGATCTTCTGGGAATGAACTTTCCCAGCAACAAGGGACCAAAATATCTATTTGAGTTGATCATCAGCACTTTCACATAAAAGACTTTTGATCAAAAGGAGGAAAATGGTAACCAAAAGAATCTGCTCTGATCAGGTCAGCTAAATTATAGTGCTATGTGGATCTGGGATAAGTCAGTAACCAGATCCACCTACCCTGAAAAATGTTTTCATAAGATCATTTTTCTTAAAATAGCCATAATTGTGCCAGAAAGCCATAAAATAATCTAAGATGCTTCTTGTAAACTTTACTCTAGAATCCTGCATAGAGGACACAATCTAACAACAATCCCCAAACGTGTACATCATGTACGACCAACAGAAAAACTGATAAAGTTATTAGGAAGGCTGTCCTTTTACTTCTCTCCTTTGGTTTCTCTCTCTCCTTGTGATTATAAAATGTTAAGCTCTTCTGGCCCTCCTCGAAACACATTTCTCAAGGTAACCTGACTATGTGTCTCCCTAGTTGCAATTGCCATATTGGCTCAATAAATCCTTGCTATATGTATTTGGCCTCAGTTTCTTTTTTAGGTCACCCACTGACTTCTTGAAGTAACAATATAGGTGATAATTGCATTTCATTATAGAAAATGCATTACTGGTTTTTCTTTTTTTAAATCTATTTTTTGTGTAACATAAGAAAAATCCCACTTAAAATGGGGTAAGAAAAGGGTTTTCAAATATAATTTAAAAATAACAAAAATGATAGGCAATAAAAACAAAATTCAGGAATTATTCTGGGGATATGTTTTATTTTATTTATTTTTGTTTCTTTTTATGATGTGATAATAATTAATCCGAGAAACAAAACTAGTTATGCATTCCTATTAAAAAATGATACATAAAATTAGGTATCAGTTTAAAATTTTTTAGTGTTTTAGGTAACTGCTAGGATGTGAATTTTTAAATGTTAACTCTGTGAACTTTGGTTGTATGGTCTAGATAGGAAAATGAACCCAAATGTAGGTTTTTGTTTCTGGTTTATGGTAAATGTAGCGATAAAAATGGTCACCAACAGAACACAAATAAATTAAAACCATGCATAATTTTACCAACCAGAAATATTTTGTATATTTGGCATATTTGAGCACATAAATATGTGTTATATTTCCTTATGTGTTCGATATTGCTACACACACAGGTACACATTTTTGTGCTCTGCTCTTTTGACAAGCCATTATGCAATATAAATTCTAAGATTAGGAAATATCTAAATGTTTGTTTTAAAAGAACATTATTTCATTTTGGTATCTACTGATTTAATGGTAGAATAAGCTTTATTTTAGTTAGAGATCTTGTAAAAACCTGTGCTATATTTCTATGTCACAGTATACTTATTTCTTAAGAGATACAATTTTATAGAATTGTTCTGAGTCATGAAAATGTATCATTCTTTTTTTTTTTTTTTTCATCTTTTTTACTGACCAGTAACGGGATCGCAACCCTCGGTGTTGTGCCTGCACCGCGCTCAGCCAGTGAGCGGGAACCAGTCTCCACATGGGATCTGAACCCTTGGAGGGAGCGCCGCCACTGGGCCAGCCCTCATTCATTTTAATAAGCAATTACATTCATTATTTATATTCTCAAAGATTGTATTTAAGTATGCCAAAACTATAACTAAAAAGTAATGTTTATTTTTTCTTTGAACTATTAGCAATTTTGTTCTTGTAGGTGCTAGTAACTGAATGTATATGAGTGGAGTCTGTTTTGTTCACTAATTTCTTATTCATCACAAGGCATTACTTTAGGATTTCAAGCTTTTGTCTATTATTGCCATGCACACAACACTGGTTGACAAGTTAATTTTTGAAACTGTCAGAGAGATGCTCAAATATACACATTTCCCCTTGATCTTAAAGCACATTTTTTATTTCCATCCATAAAATCAGGCAAAAAATGTGGATGTTTCAGCACACTGCAATATACTACTATATACTATTCTTATAGAAAGAGCTTAACACATATCTGGATGATAGTGAATTCAGAGAACTACAAAATCTTTATTAGCAGGACATCTAAAAATAAACACACCAGATTTTTTTTTCAGTTACATTACTCATCATTGACTTACACGAAAGGCAGGGGAAAATCAAAATACCTTTCTTCCCTCAACCTCATCTCCATTAATTTGCTGTGAATACGAAAGAAACTAAGACATGCACATGTGTAGGAGCCCACAAAATTTTTCAAGATAATAAAATCACTCCTACACTCCCCATGAAAATTTTCCTGTGTCCACTAGGATATCTTAATATGAAACATTATCCCAGATATTTAGTGCATTCCTAAATTGAAGTCAATATTCGATTAGAGTTGTGATAAAAAATGATATGCTAAAAGTTCATATCAGTTAGGACCAAAGAATGTTTACACATCAAAAATTTCATCTACATGGTATTGGCTTAAAACAGACACAACGCCAATAAAATAAGATAAAAGAGCCCAGAAATAAACCCATGCA